CAATAAATCTCAAATAAATATTAATAAATCTTTAAAAATCCTTAATAAATCCCCTAAAAATACAATAATACAATAATTACAATACTAGTGGGTAGCAGCATTCTAAACTTATAATATGATATGTTGTTATATAATTAACTCTTTTCATTCAGCAATTCACTCGATATTATGTACATCTATTTATTTAATATCACATTATATTTCATTTAATGTCACGCAAGAGTACAAGTTACAATCATACCTAAAATTTTAATTATAGCATTGCCATTAAAAATAATCAATCTTAAATAAATATCCCATAAGAGTTTAAAATCTACGTAAAATTTAAGAGTTTAATATTTCAATTCAAATAAAATATTACACAGCTTTAATTTAAATTTTAATCAAATTTAGACTCAAACTTTAATAATTATGTACATTATATATAGAGCTTCTAAGAATTGCAATATTATTTTATTATAAAAAAATTTTAATTCTTAATAAATTTTCAATAAATACTAAAAAACCACCTAATGAGTGTTTTGAAATCTTTAGATACTTAATAGACCTTTTAAAATTCAAATTCAATTTGATTTTCAATAATAATCTTTTCATATGCATTTTCAACATTACATTTTACTATATATATACATATATATATATATTTGGTGCATTGGAGAAGTTAGTTGCTTAGCAACATAAGAGTTTGAGCCCTTAACCTTGTCCTCAAATTAAGGCTTTTAAGTTAGTGAGTATTAATTTGGCTAAGTTTCTATTAATATATCTTACCATATATATGAGATTAGTGTGTATTAATTTCAACTTAAAAAAAATTAGAGTTTCAATTTATATTTAGAAACACAAATACCAATTTAAAATTTAAAAATCCACTCAATTAAATGTTAATACATAAATTTAGAAATCGATTCAATCTCAATCCAATTCTTTTTTCAAGAAATACAAGACATCTAAGTCATACAAGTAAAGAGATCTATTCATTGATAAGAAGGAGAAATAATGTGAGCCGTAATTGGATTGATGATAATCAAATCGAAGCCTGCATCACAAAGGGTGATTCATTGAATCTTAATGAAAAAGAAGTCGATTTCTTGATTCAGTTCTCCACCTTAACGATAGAAAAGAGGATTGATCAAATTCTATTGAGTCTGACTCATAGTGATCATTCATCAAAGAATGACCTTGGTTATCAATTGATTGATCAACCGGCAACAATTTACTTATGGTACTTAGTTGACATTCATAGAAAGTATCTAATGAATTATGAGTTCAATACATCCTGTTTAGCATAAAAAAAGATATTTCTTGCTCATTATCAGACAATCACTTATTCACAAATTTCGTGTGGGGCTAATGGTTTTCATTTCCCGTCTCATGGAAAACCCGACGGTACAGGATTGAACTTTTGTTCTATCGTAGTGGGATGATCGTTATTCTTCGGAAGCTGGAGTTCCAAGTCATCCTTCTGATCGTCTTGCTTTGTTTCCATTTCATCATCCATGGATTTCATTTCTTTAGTCTCTTTTATCTTTCCCCCACAGGACAGCGTAAAATCCAGCAACGATCAGAACAGAACCTGCAAGACTGAATCGATGCATATATAATTTAGTCATATATTTGATAATGCTAAAGATATGTTTGAACCAATCAATGTATGTATTATATACTTACGTTCCAATGAATAACTTTTCATGTAGCAGTGCAAAACTTAGGATTGCGATGATCACCAGCGACAAAGGACTGAAGATCGAGACGTAGAGAGGTCCTTTCTTACCAATGCTCCATGTCACTAGGCAAAGTGCCAGCGCGTTACACACGATTCCCTAAAATTATGTGCCAAATCAAACAAGGCAACTCAAATATCATAACACAATCATTTTTACGTTTTTATTAATTTGTAATTGGCTTGGTAGTAAAACGTACCTCATATAAAGATGCAAAAAGTCTGATACTGGAGCTCAATGACCAGGCAGAAATTCTATGTTAAAAAATGAAAGCAATTGCAGTGCAATCAATGCTTGCCATGAAACGCATGACTGCAGCTGTTGTGTAAGGTGCTGGAAACTTCTTCCCTAGTCGTGCCTGAAAAATGAAAATCATTGGTGATTGAAACAGTTTATTTAATGGACGAAGTAAAAGTGAAAGGAATTAAGTGTTTAGAGGTCAAGCATAGACCTGGATTATGAACCCAACAGCCCAAGCAACATATCTGATCATGATTAGAAATAGATCTAGGAAGTTTGTCCTGTTGTTGGAACTTGAATCAGTAACTTCCTCGGCATATTTCCAATGAATACCGGATTCTGTTCTGTAAATGCTGTGTCCATGGTAAAAAGACAACAGCATGGATCCAACAACACATGCAATGGTTCCTACCACCTTTGTCTGACCTGCTGCCGTTTTTATTCCCACTTTTTCTAACCTATTAAAACCAGAAAATAAAAATAAAATCGATCAGGCCTTGATCTAGTACTACTAGTAATAGTACTATAAAAGCACAGACTAAATATATGTCATTGAAAGGTACTAGAAGAACTAGGAATCAATTAAGGGCAAGGCCTTCTACTTTTTCAAACTTGAGTTTTAACCATTATATGAGGTGGTTCCGCCACTACTGAAAGGTTTTAGGTGCAAATTCCGAGTACCTGCAATAGACTGCTAAGACAAAAGTGACTGCAGGGCGGAGATCGTTCAACGCACAGGCAATTGTTGCGGTTGAATACTCAAGTCCAAGAACGTAAAACACCTGGTCTGCAGTAACCCTGCATCAGATTATTGTTAATTTCCTTGTATTTTTCAGCATTCATAGCAATATTTTGAAGGAAATATATAAACTAAACCCAAATGTCCAAAATCAAAACGCTTACGTTGTAATTGAACACAAGAACGACTGCAGCAGTATCTGCCTTGTGATGCGGGGTCTTGTATTCCTGCTCAAATAACCAGAAAAAAGAGTCAGACACTTCTAGTTGTGCAAAAACAGAGTTTCCTCCTAAGAAACAATTTTCTTGGCATCGAAACAGAGCCATATTTGCCCATGCAAAATAGCCCAATTTGTGATTTAACGCGATGAGTGTCACGTTATACACGTGCCAGGTGCCAAGCTAGCATAAGAAAAATGCTTGTCACAAAAAAAAAAAAAATCCTTGAACTTTACTAAAAGAAGTCATTGTCATCCCTCTACTTAGAAAAGATTCATAACAATTCCTCAACAATAAAGAAATCATCCTTCCGTTTGAGAACGTTATAACACTGTCCATCTCCCGGTAAATGCTGTGTCATCTTAAAATTTCTGTCCAACTTTGCAGTAACGGATACAAATGATTTGGGAATAATTTTTTTTATTATTTTTTAATATAATTTTACATATAATATAAATAATTAATTTTTTTATCCATAATAAACTGGCAACCGATTGCGAACGATTCCCTTTCATTTTCATTTTCGTTTTTGCCCTATGGCCTCTCATCCTCCAGAGCCTCCTCTGTGCTTCACTTTGTCCAATATTATTATTGGATTTTTAAGTTGTCCAAAGAAATCAAGAAATGATAATCCATACTTGCACAGAAACAACACAAACACTTCCAGAAGTATCACCCACCACGATTGAGATTAAGAAAGCCATTGTCACTCATCCCTTCACCTTTCAGAAGCAACAGATGTAGAACCGAGGAAAAAAAAAAAAAAACCAAAGAATGGTTAACAAGCTATGAGGATGGAAATAAAAGGCAGAGGAGTAAGAAGCAGATCTGATCTATTGTCTGACGAAGAGGAATTAAAGGAAGGATGAGACGACGGATAGAGAAGAAAGAGAAGGACAGAGTAGAAAGCAAAAGGAATTTCGAAAAAGTGAAAGGAAATGGAACCGATTACAATCGGTATCCGGTTTAAAT